GAGGGAAGGATAAGGGAGGGGCAAGAGCCAGAGAGGGGTGAGGGAGAGGCAGGCCCCTGGGAATCTCTGTTGCTTTCGGGCCACATGTGGTTGGTTTCTGGCTCAGAGCAGGTCGGTACTGTTCCCACACACACTGGGGGTGCAGCCCTGCCCCAGGGGGAGCAGCTGGGACTCTCCATGCTGGCAGGCCCCATGTGCACCACCTTCCAGACAGGAAAACCCCACAGCCAGCCTCTCCCCTCGCCAGGCCCAGACCCACCCCCATAGGAGCAATGGTCTGGGTTGGGCTCACTTGGGGGGCAGTACAGTGGAAGATTCGGGGGAATATAAATGCGCACTAATAGCCTGTTGCTAATGAGGCCAGGGCAGTGGGGATGGGAGGGGGCATTTCCCCACTTCCTGCCCCCTCCATCCGGGAAAAGCTGCACCAGGGGCCAGTCCCAGTTCACACCCGCACAGCGCGTCTGCACTAGGGGTTTTCACCGGTGCAGCTACATCGGTGCAAGGAAACCCCGGCAGTCATGGCCTGAGACACTGCTGTGCCAGGGGCCGTAACCCCTCCCATCAGTGGGGTCATGGATCAATAATTACAGGGTCACTGGAGCAGGGGAGCTGGACTCTGGGCTCCCAGGTAGGGACCCGACCCACTGCGCTGCAGAGTCATTCTCACTCCCACGCTCTGGCCCAGTGCCCATGGCAGTGTTTAGACACAGGGGGATGTCACTCGGATCCCAGCGCTTTGAGCCCTCATGGCATCACATGGGGGGATTGAACCTGGGGCTCCCAGCTGAGGGCCCAGCCACTGGGCTAAAGACTAGAGGAGAAGCAGCGGCACCTTTTTCTCTTAATTGAAACTCGACAGCAAACTCGACGTGGATTCGCAAACAGTTTCTGTTGACCCGAAATATAATTTCACAGCAAATAAACTATTTGTCCAAAACATTTCACCCAGCTCCACTGCAAACCTGTCTGAGCAACTTAGGAGCCCGAATCCCAGTGACTTGCAATGAGTGACTGTCAACATCCCCAGAAACGCACAGTTACAGGCAGGCCAGGTTCAGGACACTCCAGAGCTGCTGTTTAATTTGCCCTTTGCAGACAAATGCCCCCTGGGTCCGTGATCTCACCCCCACAAATCAGGCTAACAATGGAGACTTGGCTCCAGCCTGAACTCTCTGCCCAGAGCCATTTGTGCCATGGATGCTGAGAGTGGCACAGACCCTCTCCAGCTGCACCTGGGCATCTCCCAGAGCAGGTAATAGTCACAGAGACCGTCTCAGAGCCCGGGGCTCAGGTGTCTCCATCTAACGACTGCGCCAGCCACCCCCCCTCTAATTAACCAGCCCTGGGACAGACACCCTGGAAACTTTCACACCCAGACTCTGGAGACACTTTGGGTTCATCTACACAGCCTGCAGAAGCGAGTCTCGGAATGGGGTGGACAGATTCAGGCTTGTGGGGCTCCCGCTTTGAAATTAAAAATATCCGCGTAGATGTTCAGGCTCAGGCTGGAGCTCAGGCTCTGAAGCCCAGGATGGAGCCAGGTCTGCCCCTCCCAGCGCAAGCCAGGACATTGTCTGTGTCCATGTCCCCTTCACCCCCTTCCTGGGACAGGGAACAGCAGCCCCAGGGCCCCTCCCTTCAACCCCCAGGGCAGGGGAGTGAGAGCCCTCAGCCTCCTGGGCATTGGGGCCTCCCAGCACAGGTTCCTGGGTAAGTGTGAAAGTGTCTCCACCCAGAAAGCTCTGAGCACCCGGCAACTACACAGATGTGCCCGTGGATCAGGATCCGGGATGGTCCTCACCCCAGGAGTGATGGAACCTCTCTAAAAGTAGAGGGGTAACCGGTGCCCAAACCATGGCCCCACCCTCTCATGCTGGCCCTTTTTCCCCAATCTCCTGCCCCCGCACCACCCCTTCTCCCTGAACCCCCGCTCTCACACCGCCCCTTCTCCCTGACCCAAGCCCCCGCTCTCACACCGCCTCTTCTGCCCGACCCAAGCCCCCGCCCTCACACTGCCCCTTCTCCCCGCGCCACCACCATCACACCACCTCTTCCCCCCAACACATTGACCCCCTGGTCGCTCCTCTCGGCCCCCTCCCCCCTCGTCGCTCACCCTTATAGCTGGTAAAAAGTGGGAGGGAATAGCCCTCCCATTGGTAAAAGTGATTGGCCATGGTTCCTGGCCCCACTCTTCCAGTGCCCCTTACTCAGCCCCCAACCCCAGGAGGAGAGGGGCCCTTGGGGCAGTGTCAGTGAGTTCAGTGCTGGGGGTACGAGTGGGGTTTACACCCCGGCTGCTGGAGCTCTGTGTATCGAGGGTACGAGGACATCACAGCGGCCGTGTGAGCCCCCCACTGTCCTACCAACATGGCTCAGCCCTGACACCTGCTGGAACCTCTCCCTGGGGAGGAATCGTCCCTGGGGCCTGTTCAGGCCTTGGCCTCCCTGCAAAGGTGGCTGGTGAGGCTGCCATTAATGTGAGTTACGATGTGAGCTCCTGTCCGCTGGGAACCGGACTCTCACCCTGGGCTGAGATCGGTGACTGGGGAGTGAAAGGCCCCAGCTGCAGGGCCGGCTCCAGGGTTTTTGCCGCCCCAAGCAGCCAAAAAAAAAAGCCGCGATCGTGATCTGCGGCACTTCCACCGCGACTCTACCATCGCCGCTTCTTCGGCGGCAATTCGGTGGCAGGTCCTTCCCCCCGAGAGGGAGTGAGGGACCCACCGCTGAATTGCCGCCGAAGAGCCGGACGTGCCGCCCCCTTCCACGTGCCGCCCCAACCACCAGCTTGCTACGCCGGTGCCTGGAGCCGCCCTGCCCAGCTGCCCTCACTGCCCCCCTGA